ATGTAGCATGAATAAAATTGCAAGACTGGTAAAATTTGTTATTTTTAGTCAGTTAAGCCATAATGGGTTTGATCCAAAGAGTAGACCAAAATGTACTGACCACGTCAGATTCATGCTTCCTTCCCTCTGCTCCCTGATCAGCCCCATTTGTCATCATTCTGCTGATGTACCAGCACAATGCTGATAAGTTTCTCAGAATTGCACAATAGAGTTACACTGCTTAATCAGCAGTATTATAATTGGTTTATTTTATGGCCTCTATTGGTTTAGAACAGGGGTGTCAAACTGCCGGCATCGCAAAACCGCGCCCACCCCTTTGCCGGCAGTGGCAAAAAAGTTCCGATACGTAGCGTGACGTCACGTGACGTCGCGAGTTTGACATGTCTGGTTTAGAAGGTTGAAAATATGAAACAACCCATTCCCCTCACATTTATGCAACAGAATGGAGGAATCTCAAATTAAAAATGCTTTTTGCATCTTCAATCTATTTTGTTTGTTGGGTTTTTTTAATTTATTTTTTTGGCTCAGTTTGTGATGCAATTGGATCTGTAGGAGGAAGGAAACAGGAAGAAACCTAAACACGGACAGTCCTACAGCTGGACCTGCCCCATTCCTGCTGCAGCATCCTGATTGCTGGATGTTTTTCCAGCTGCTGGTCATGAGCAGAAGGAGGAGAGCAAAGCCAGAGGCATCAACCAATCACTTTATCCAATGCTGGGTTTGGAAAATCAGGATAACATTAATCAGCAGTGAGTCAGAACAGAGGCAGGAGAGGAATCAGAAACAGGAAAAACAGATTTCTTGCCTTCTGCCAATTCAAGGATGGAGAGGATAGCATTTTAATTCAGTCACAGTGAAGGTTTTAAATAATATGGTACCAAATTTAAGTCTCACCATCTGGCTGAAACCTTTCCCAGTCTCAGAAATAAACAGGATCAGCCTCATTAGGAACTGGATGGAAGATCTCCAAGGAATATCAGGGCTATAGACTAAATTGGGTATCCATCCATCCTATTTGTGTGTGTGTGTGTGTGTGTGTGTGTGTGTGTGTGTGTGTGTTCATACAATAAATAGATTAATGGCTCACAATCACAAGCATACCAATTCTAGAATCACTGTCAAGAAACTAGATGGACATGAACTCGAACTATAGGGAGATTTGATCTTGCCAACCAAAGCAAGCCAGGACCAACCACTACAAAAATATATCAGAGCAGCAAGGGAAAAAAGCAAGCAAAGACCAGTTCAAAACTTCCTTTAACTCTTGAACCTCCCAATCGTGAAAGAGCCATAACCTTACAGTCCAATGTAATACTATCCAGAAAGCTACTTAACCAGATTTTTTCTTCTGCACCATAAAGAATCACTACCAGCTGGTCCAAGGGAGGGATCTCTGAAATTGTTGGATTTTTCTTTCTAAAAACATTATTTATCTTGATTTTATTACAATTGCAGGTATTACTTGCATACTGCTTTGAAGATGTTGAACAACAGGTTACAAATAAATGGTTAGAACCAAAAAAATAACAGATAAACAGAAGACCGTCAGTAGCTTTTACTTTTAGAGTACCCAACCAAAAAGAAAAAAGAAATATAGGGGAAACAACAGTATTCAGATTGATAAAAAACATGAAAGAAAAGCAACATTCTAAAAATGAGAAATCTCAACTCCAACACATTTGTCTCCCCTATGAGGGTGCTGTAAAGTTTTCAGCCAATACTCCTTTCACATTGCAGTTTAACATTTGCTCACCTCGTTAACAGAACCATTTCTATCCATTTCTCATTAAAGGCCTACATATTAGGGTTTGAATGATCTCTTATGGTAATAGCTGCTTGGTGTATTTTTCTAAATTTAAAAAAAATGGTTTTAACTCTGAAACTGTTTATCAGAGCAGCATATACAGCACATATGGAGATGCATAATGCCCTAATTAGAAAAAGAATATTTGCTTATTGCATTTATATCCCACCCTGATATGCAGGATAGTGTAACAGCACATATAAGAGTGTCTCAACTGTTATCATCCAGGGGTAAAGGCAAATTGGAGGGAATGTTATTAAATCTCCTCTAGAACCATGGATGTTAGGACATGGTTCCATAACAAGCCAATGACAACACATAATAATAATAATAATAATAATAATAATAATAATAATAATAATAATAATAATAATAATATAATAAAGTTGGAAGGGATCTTGGAGGTCATCTAGTCCAACCCCCTGCTCAGGCAGGAAACCCTATACCATTTCGGACAAATGGCTGTCCAGTCTCTTCTTAAAAACCTCCAGTGTTGGAGCATTCACCGCTTCTGGAGGCAGGTTGTCCACTGGTTAATTGTTCTAACTGTCAGGAAGTTTCTCCTTAGTTCTAGGTTGCTTCTCTCCTTGATTAGTTTCCATCCGTTGCTTCTTGTCCTGCCTTCAGGCGCTTTGAAAAATAGCTTGACTCACTTTTCTTTGTGGCAGCCCCTGAGATATTGGAATACTGCTATCATGTCCCCCCTCATCATTCTCTTCATTAAACTAGACATACCCAATTCCAGCAATCGTTCCTTATATGTTTTAGCCTCCAGTCCCCTAATAATCTTTGTTGCTCTTCTCTGTACTCTTTCTAGAGTCTCAACATCTTTTTTACATGGTGGTGACCAAAACTGGATGCAGTATTCCAAATGTAGCCTTACACTCTCCTATCCAACTATTGTTATTAAACTACAGTAGTTAGAAAATGTAAAAGGCATAGTACAAAAGCTGCATTTACGATAAAGAGAAATTTTACTCTTTTTTAAATAAATCCAGGTCAGGCACTCATTTCTTTATCTCTCAAGTAGGTCTCTCAAACTCTAGCATCACCAAGCTGAACTGCAAGAAAAGATGCCTAGTGTGCCACTGGAGGAAGATAAACAGTGAATCAGACTGGACACAAGAGTCCATATTTGGGCCTGATCATAGTAATAAGGCAGGGGTGTCAAACTCGCAATGTCACATGACATCTCGCAAAGTCTTGCGACTTTTTTGCCATTGTCGGCAATGGCGTGGGCATGGTTTCGCTATGATGCATCTGGCCTGCGGGCCAGCAGTTTGACACCCCTGCAATAAGGCAACAAAATTTTGCCCACATTGTTTCCACCAATAGCTGCCCAGCAGCCCTATTTAAGGTGACCCATTCCTTGCTGGGAAGGGACAGCTCCCAGGAACATTTAAAAGGTCATGCTATCTGGTAGACAAAACTGCTGATATTCAATCAGTTGGATTCTAACTGGGTAGGTCCAGATGAATTGCTTAGTGTTGTTGATGTTATCTGGATGAGCTTGATTCTCTGGATTCTAAGGAAACGGTCCTCTGAACTGTGTGAGATCCAGGTCTCTACTGGATTGTCAAGATAGCATGTGGTTAGATCCTTGCAATAGTTTCAGCATCTCTGAGAGAAAGGGTGTTCTGTCCAGCCGTGAGAGACCATCATTGGACCCTTCCATTCTGGGCAGTTATTGTCCCGCCTCTAACTTTCCCTTTATGGGGAAATTTATTGAGAAAAAAATCAGATAGCAGTTGCAGAGAGTCTTGGGGAAAGTATATTATCTAGACCTGTTTCAATTGGGTTTCAGGAGAGGGTCAGTACACTACTGAGAGACTTTTAGTCATGATGTGTCCATTTTTGTGCTCAATCTTTCAGCAGCAATCAATAACTTCCATATCCTTCTGAGATGCAAGTATTGGGAGTAGTGGGCACCGTGCTGCAATGATTCATCTCCTTCAATGGTCATTTTTAGTCAGCATTGATGATGAGGAGAAGTCATGCCCACAACCCCTCAAATGTGATGTGCCTCAGGCTCAACATTCTTGCCCCTTCTGTATAACATATATATGGAACTGCTGGATGAAATAATTTGTCAGTTCAGGGTCTAGTATTAGCCAAATGCTGATAATACTCAATTGTACATATCAACCCTAAGCTGAACAATTCCCCATTCAAAACCAGTGTGCAATCTGAGGTCCTCCCAGACTCAGCCACTGTTCAAAGAGCAACTCTGGATAGATCCACCACGTGCAACAGTTGTACTCTTTTCTTAAGTCCTTCAGATGGTTAATCATAGCCTAATTACCTCATGGTAGGACTACTGCAATGGGCTGTACATCTGGGAGCTAGATGCAATTCAAAATGCATGGGGTAGTAATGTGCCTGTCACTTTACATCCATGTGTCATCACTGCTTTGCAAGACACAAGTCATATAAACAGCTTTTCATAGCTTAGCATCTGATTATTTGAGGAGCAGCTTTTCTCTACTTGGATCAATCAGGATGAGTGGATATGCTCTGGGTAGCTTTAGTCAAATGATGCCTTCTTGCAGGAATGAGGAAGCATGTTGTCTCTGTTGTAGCAACTGTCTTTGGAACAGCAGACCCAGAGACACATATAGCTCCCACTCTTCAAATCTTCCAATAATCTCTTAAGACATGGCTTTTCTGAAGCCTGGGGTGAACATGCTTGTGGAATACCTGGCAAATTTTTCTGCATGTTATTTATGTGATTTGTCTGGAGGGTCATGCTGTTGTTAAAATTATGTATTATTTTAAATATTGTAAACTGCCCAGAATCTTTTTGAAGGTGGGCAACCTCGTAATCCAATCAATAATCTAATCATGTGAGGTGAAATGGCTGATTTAAGTATTTTTCAAAATATTTAAAAATTCTGAATCCCTCCCAAAAGATTAAGGTGAACCTCTCACTTTGGAGAGACAATGAACGATTTAAACACCTCAAACTTCCTTCTAACTCAAAGAAAGTATTCAAAACTGAGCATAAATATCACCAGCCATTATTAAAAGTTCCCAAGCAGGCTATGAGGACAAAAACCATTCCCTGGTTTGAAAAAAAAAAATCCAACTAATGGAGAAGCCCCTTTAAGGGCTTTACTTAATTTTTATTTTAAGCAATGAAGTGTAGATGTACACACTTAAAACAAAAGCACATACAATTTCTTAAAACAGTACTTACAGTTTTAGATGAAGGATTCATAGGGGTTGTCTTGGCAACATTGAGGCCATCGATCACAACATCAAAAGGGGGATGTTCATTCACAAATCTCTGAAAACGTTCTAATTCCTAAAACCATATTTTAAAAGATAAAGACAAATAACATGTAATATATCTTATAATAATCTCCTGTATTAGAATTATGTAGAATAGCCTCTAGACAAGATGGGCAGCACATAAATCCAATAAATAAATAAATATTCCTAAATTAGAATGTGATTGACACATAAATATACAAATTGTATAAAATGTACCTTACAAAAGCAGTAAATATTCATCACAAATATTTAGGATTGTGTATCACTAATGTAACATATAATGTTGATTTTTTAAAAAAATAAAGAAAAATGTTGATAATGGTATAAAAACTAATTAGAATATGCCATCAATTGATTCACATCTAATTAATTTTATGGAATCAGATTTTACAATTATATTCAAATGGGCAGCCTCTGCAGCCAAGATATAGCCCCTTCTATAGCCACAGTACTTAATTTAGGCATCTCCTGGAGGTAATTTGTATTTGTTTATTAGTCAAAGGTTCAATTTGGCTCTGCTACTGCCCAGAGGTTTGTGTAAAACAACTGGGCTTTTTATGGGGGCTAATGACATTATTTAAGACTGGGAAAAGGGGTAATTGGGTCCAACAGTTTAAGAACTACTGCAGTATAGAATGAAAAACCAATTGTCCAAACAAATGCACAGGAGAAAAGGTGAAAGAAATTTCACACAGCTTACGGGCAGGAAGAATTATAGGCCATGATTATGGAAGAAAAAAATTGGGCCTAGCATACTGCAAGTCTAATATCCTGTCTTTCAACCTTGGGAACTTTAGGATGTGTGGACTTGAGAATTCCCCAGCCAGTATGATTGGATTTGCTGGCTGGGGGAAATCCTGGAAGTCCAAACATTTTAAAGTACAGGTAGTCCTCAACTTATAACAGTTCATTTAGAGATCATTCGAAGTTACAATGGCACTGAAAAAAGTGACTTATGAACGCTTTTCATATGACCATTGCAGCATGGTCATGGGATCAAAATTTAGATGCTTGGAAACAGGTTCGTATTTAAAGGGACATGTGATCACCTTTTGCAACCTTCTGACAGGCAAAGTCAATGGGAAAGCCAGATTCACTTAACAACCACATTACTAACTAATGACTGCAGTGATTCACTTAACAACTATGGCAAGAAAGTTCATAAAATTAAGCAAAACCCACATAACAACTGTCTTGCTTAGCCACAGAAATTTTGGGCTCAATTGTAGTCATAAGTCCAGGTTTACCTGTGATAGATTCTGCATTAAACAGTGGAACTCTGCAAGACATTTGCAAGATATTTTATGAAGTACCACTCCTAAAACCACTAAGGCAACTGTGTTCCCTGGAAGGCTCAGTGCATGTGCACATTGTCAGGGTTCTGACAGAGACGAATAAAGCAGAACTCTGAAAATTCCTCAAAGAACATGTTTATTAGTTACAAAGTTATCAGCACAGTCAAAAGTGAAACCAAGTCTGAATACATAAGTAACAATTGTCAAATTACAAAGTTAAATGTCCCACCCACAAAACCACGCAAGCAACTTCGTCCCCCAATATACTTATTTGGCGGGTGTTTTATACAATACCCAGTCCCTGGTCTCGGGAGCAGTAGACGATCTTGGTTCCTACGGGACAGAAGATTATTTCAACTAACGAAGCACCTGGGCAACCCCCCTCCCTCTGTTCTATGTGGCAACCTAGAATGAGAAGAAAAAATGGCTGCAGCCATGCTCACTGTAGAATTGACACACACATTTCCATTGGGGTCATCTCTACAGCAGCTGTGCATAAATACACATATGCAGAAATAACCTGGAAAAAGCTCCTAAAGCAGCAAGCATTCCAGTGCTTTCAGAACAGTGTTTTAACAGTTCCCTTTTGCATTTATTTAGTATCTTACATAATTGATTTTTCCTATTAACATCTCCGCTTTAGGTTTTTATGAGAAATCTTGATCTAGCTTCATTTCAGAAATTTTCAGCTTTTATGACTAAGCAAAAATCAACCCAGATAATACGTTGTTCATTAAGCACTAATGAATTGTAATGATAGAAAATGAATAAAATACTTTTTAAGAAAATATCTTTTTATTGAATTTACAAAAAAAGGATTGTTAAAACCTCGAAGAAGCCGTTGTGATGGGACAAACAAGAATTGAAGAGAATCCCATGGCAATATTTGAATGAATTAAATATTAAGATTTTCAGAAGTAAAAGGAAGGAATTCAAAAAATTGATTTATTTGATCAAGGTTAAAATAAGACATGTTTTTATCAAATGGCAACCATTTGCAGATCTTTTGCTGACACCATGATTGAAAAGCTGATGTTTCGTGGATTTGCTTGTAGATAAGGGATGGCATATGGCATGGCATGGCTGGCTCAGGAATTCTGGGAATTGAAGTCCACGAGTCACAAAAGAGCCAAGGTTGCCTACCCCTGACATGGGAAGCAGAGATATCTATTTTTAACCTTATAGAAGGTGAAGAGCTACCAAATAGTTTGTGCTGGTGATGAAGATTGGCAGTAATTTCTTTATATCTTTCTTTTCTTTTTATTTACTTTCTTTCCTTTAATTTTTATTTCCTTGCGTTTTCTCTTTTTACTTTTTCTGAGTTTGTGTTAGTTTTTATTATTGCAATTAAAATAAAAAAAATAGATCTTTCTATTCTGAGGTTTTTGAGATATGGAGAAAGAGTTTAAATCATGTTGACTTTTTTAACCTGTAAACAATCCATAAAGCATTGTTTTTTAATCTTATGACCATAAGAACCTTTGATGAGAAACTTTGCCAACAAATGACTTCATTTCAAAAACCCTTTTTCCTCTGCAAGCCCAGTGATTTTTCCTGATTACTGTTTCTACCAATTTGTTCCAAACAGATAGAGACCTCCTGATCAGTTGCTGTGGCATGTCAAGTACTTTTCTTACAAAGAACAGGATAACTAATATTTTATTCACATTCTAATAGAGCAAACTATCTTTACATAAATCTTATAATATAAAATTCTGCTGTGTGTATAATAGTGGACTGATCTTAATCTTGCCTTCCATATCCCTTTCAAAAAGTGCATACGATTTAATGACTGTGGTTTATCTGGAATAAACACATAAAAACAAGTTGCATATTTCTTTCCCAGGTTCATAGCCCAAGGCATATACCAATAATTTAGTTCTTTTGCAAATAGCTTGGAAAAATGGATTCAGCATTTACATCAAGGGGAATTCCTAGCAGTTGTCCTATTCCTCTGTAGAGTGGAGACAATTGGGGAAAGGGGGTTGTTACTCCAGCAGCAGACATATCTAAAGGGGGAAGAGCTCTGATTGAATGATAATTTTTGTATTCACCTCTGCAGCACTAATTAGTTTGCAGATCTCTGACTTCCTAAAGTGAAAAATGAATCTGTATGATTCCCTAACTAGTTCGGATAGAATGGAGGCGAATTCTGACATGTGATCTATCTTTGCATATGCAACCTATCAAACTTCACAAAGCCAGAACTTTGTAGTAACTCATTCCCTACTTTGCTTGGAAAAATCAATAGGCAGATTGTCTAGCAAATCCATGCAGAACCTCCTGCAAATCTGCACAACACTCCCCAAGAGTCACAATTCACAGCCGGAAACCCTGCGTTTATGGCGTTTTCTTTTCTTCAATGAACTAAAATCAGTACTGGTGAAGAACACCTTATCAACTTTGGAACTCTTTGGAAATATATCCAAAGAGATACATTTGTTTGTAATTTTTAAGGTTAAAAATTTCTGTTATCCCAAGGATGAAAGCTGAGTTATGGCCAGGTTTTATTGAAATCTGTGGCTAAATTTGGTGTTAGGTTTTACTATAGGATGTTTTAGTATTACGTTGACAGTCTATCATAATTATCTTTTATTTATAAAACCCTTATTCTAAACTAAAAAGCCTAAAATAATGTAGTTTTCCTCACAATCACCTTTCTGCACGTTTTAAAATTATAAAATATTTTATTAAGGTATGACGAGAACTAAACACAATGCTTTAAACATGGTCTCATCGTAGATTTGTATAAAGACATTATTATATTGGCAGTTCTGTTTTTCTATTCACTTTATAATGATCCCAAACATCACATTTTTCTTTTTTACAGCAGCTGCACAATGAATTGACATTTTCATTAGGCTAGCTAGCATGACTTCCAGACCACCTGATCAGTCTCTGCCAGCTTAGATCCCGTTAATGGGCAACTCAGATTATTTCTGCCAATATGCACCACTTGTTTACACTGATCTACATTTGGCATATTTGAAGTAAATTCATTCTATTGAAAGGAATCTATTGGAGCTCATCACGATCCCTTTATTTACAATCCAATTTAATATATTTTCCATAGTAACCAACTAGATATTCCTGGTAGCTTATAATGGACTTTTTCTGCTGTTCTTTCCAAATAACTGCTATTCAAAATCAAGCTGCCTTCAGTCCTACAGGTTCACTTACAGACATCATGACCAGGATCCATAAATTTATTTTTAGTATCTTTTTGAATTGCTAACAGATTTAAGAGTTGGTGAATTAACATAATACATCAAAAGTTCATTTCTACTTTATTTCATGCAGGTGAAAAAGAAGGTGGAAGGACAGAGATTTGACCTATCTTTCAGAAGCAGGGGTTTTTTTTCCTAAGAAAAACTCAAATTACTTAGATTGTAATTACTTTCCATTAAAATAGTGTTTTATTTTAAAAATCAAATGATGAGGTGAGAGAAAGAAGGGAAATAAGAAGCAAATTAATGATTTGCTGAATTGTCACCACACTTCTGTCACAAATAAATCCCTGCAAAGTGATAATTAATTATTAGTAAAAGCAATTTCCTTAATATGATGAGAAAAATAGTCATTGAGATGAGTGAACAGAGCAGTAAAATCAATGGTATCCGATACACAATACAATTCTGGACCTATATCAACAGTAGCAACATGACAATAAATGTATGGGGAGGTCAGCAATGAGACTTCAGGGCCCAAGCTTCAAACTATTTATCAATAAGACTCAGTAGAGGTCAGAGGAAAATGTGTAATGAAAGTCTCTATTTGTACTAAAAGCAGATGGTACAAGCTACCTTTATGCCAAAGGGCAGTTTATATATGACACCTATGGGTGAGCAATTGTTTAATTTAGTTAAATGGAGATTAATTAGCTCAGATTTTCATCCGTTGAACAACAACAAGAAAATATTACTACAGTTTACATTAAGAAACTGTAAGGGAGGAGATGTATCACGTGCATATGGCCATGTGCCAGAGTAGAATATAAACAGACTAGAACAGACATGTCAAACACAAGGCCCGGGGGCCGGATACGGCCCGCGAAGTGGTTTTATGTGGCCCGCGAAACCATCCTGGAAACAGTGAGGGAACGGCCCCCGCTGCCTTGGTCCTGGCCCAGGCTGGACGGGAGCCAATGTACAATTTTGTGGTGGCCATCTATGCTGAAATGCATTCAGTCTTAGCTCCACAAGGCCATCTGGAAACAACAAGGAACCAGTCCCTGCTGTGTCGGCTCCACCCCCTGGGTGCATGCTGGGGAGGTGTCACCCTTTTTGAGGAATGAAAAAATGGACCATGCCTTAGAGCTTGCCCCGGTCCCACCCCCTTCTGCCAGAGACCCTCAGATCTGCCCCACTCCTGCCCAGGCCCCCACACACACTCTTGACGTGAACGATGTAGAGCTGGCCATGCCTATCCAGTAGGCCACACCCACTCCATCCATGCCCACCCAGTAGGCTGCACCCACCCTGGCCACACTCACCCAGCCCCCTCGAGGGCAACCCCAATGCTGATGCGGCCCTCAATGAAATTGAGTTTGACACCCCTGGACTAGAACATAAGAACTAGATAAGAATCATAAAAATTATCTGAAAAAAACCAAGTAAACTCCAATTAATTTATGTATGAAATCAAAGTTTAGAGAATTGAGGTAAGGAGCTATAAGTAGCATAGACAGAGCCAAGTAATGCCTACACCCACTGTCAGGTATAGGATTTCAAATAATGCTGGAAAGTACTGAAGAATTCTAAGGGCTGCATTCAGGATGAATCAGAACAATGAAACTATAGGTGTGTCCTCATGAGCAATAAATGGAAATCTTAAGCAGGACTAAAGTTACTTAACTGTTCTAATAAGTAAAAGACTACTGAAGGCAAAGGTTGAAGATTGAGATGAGGATTCTTATATTACCACGTTTTCTGAATCTACAAGGATTTGTAAGCATTTTTTAATGACTTATCTCACAGGGATTCTTGATTGGCCTCTTCAAAGTATCAGCTCTTAGGTTTATTTACAGAGGGTTGCATTTGTTAAATAGTGGTATCTCTCTGGGAAAGTCCCCTCAATCTAACTAATGGTGGAAAGCACGCACCCTTTTTAAATAATAATAGAGTATCAGAGAATGTAACAATTGCCCCATTCATTCTCAGTAGTTCCACAAACTCCCTAACTTGGCTTTTTCCCAGATGGAAATGGAAGCTGCAAGTCAAGGTGTTCATACAATATGCAAATTGCGTGATGTTGTATCTAATACAACCAAATATAAACACATAATTAGAGCATTACAAAGCAGTTCAAACGCAGTTAACACATAACATTTGTTCCACTGTCAGGAAATTATCTTGTATAGAAACTTTTTAATGCAATGTATTATAATTGCCTCATAATCTAATTGTTCACATTTACACTCCTCTTTACAGTATGACTTTTGTATACATCATACATACATATATACATAAATAAATACATACATACAAGCTATTCTTTAGTCAGTATTGAATGTTTATGCCTTTGTTCTACACACAGTTCAAACATCTAAATTACAGTACCTCTAAACCAGTGGTTCTCAACCTTTCTAATGCCGCGACCCCATAATACAGTTCCTCATGTTGTGGTGACTCCCAACCACTTATACATCATCGGGTGCTAGGGGCATGGCCAAAGAAAAGGGGAAAAAATGGCGGACAGCCTTGTTTGGCGACCCCCGTGAAATGGTCGTTCGACCCCAAATGGGGTCCCGACCCACAGGTTGAGAACCACTGCTCTAAACAGCAAGAGTTTTTCAGTACTGTAGTGATATACTGATTGCTGAACTCTTTAGGCAGGGTTAGCTGCCAGTTTAGGCACTGATCAGGACCCCCTTGGGTGGAAGTATCTTCTTTCTCCTTCTGAACACTAGCATAATTCTTAGTAACATTTAAAAACTAGAAATTAATCACTTTTCAAACTTTGAAGTTGCCAGGATTTATTTATGAGTAAAAATCAGTGATTCACTCTGTGCTTCTCTCTATACTTTGGCTAGATAAGTCAAGAGCCAGTTTGACTAGACAAAACAGAATTCAAATTGTGCTAACTCTCTGTTAGACTGAAATAGATAACAAGCAGATTTATTATTGTAGGAAACTTGTCTTGCAATAAAAATTACCAGAAATTCTGTATAAAGCAGCAGACCCAGCCATATCACAGGGAGGCAAATTCAGGATCACTGCTTTCATCTATCATCCAGATGTTCACAATCAGGTTGTAAATAGGGATTTTTTTGGGGGGGGGAAGGTTGTAACTTAGTTGTAACTAAGCAACTCGTCATAAGTCAAGGACTACTTGTAACATGGTGTGTTGACTCATCTAATATACTGAGAGTACATTGAACCTTATCCCATCCCAACTGTGGTTGTAAGTCGATGAATAGTGTTCTCTCAGAACAGAACTTTTGCTTTTTTTTCTTTGTGATATTTCCACCTCATATATCTATTAGCCATAAATTTAATTTCTATATTAAACTTGTCTTAATAACATTTACATCATAATCTTCAACAACATGAGATTATCACCAGTAATTCATTTATACTAAATTGCACTCTAATTTCCAGCATCACCATAATGAATGTCTGATTCAGATGGGGAATGAAAGATGTTTTTTAAATGGGTCATTGTGGCTTCCTAAGAAATGGCACGTGTATATCCAGCTGATCACAAATGCAGATTATTCTAATAGGCAGCAAAAAAGTAGAGACTCATTTCCATAGCGACATCTACACAATTCTGAAGTAAGCAAAACCTACAAATGGTCAAAAATTATTTCTACCATGATAAGATTTATCATTTTTCTTTAGCTAAAAAATAGGAGGTTCTTTTAACGCTGGTAGCATAATCTTTTAGTACCTCTATAAAAACAGATTAGCACATAAAAAGCCTTTGACCTGTTTACTCTTGACAGCTACAAAAGATGCAATTGAACAAAGCGGACAATTCCCAAGCCTCAAAGCTTGATGTCAATTTGAATCAATGTTTGGCTCCCCTAAGGTGTTTCTTACCGCAACTGCTAGAAACCAATGACAATTTTGAGGCAGGAAAGACAGAAATCTGAACAAAAAAAATCTACAATAGGCTTGACAGAGTTTAAAAACCAAGAACTACCCCACAAATCTAGGACAGGGGTCTTCAAACTTGGCCCTTTTATGACTTGTGGACTTCGACTCCCAGAATTCCTCAACCAGCATGCCTGGCTGAGGAATTCTGGGATTTGAAGTCCACAAGTCATAAAAGGGCCAAGTTTGAAGACCCCTAATCTAGGAGAATAACAAAATCCTAGTTCCACGTATATGCAACTTTTAGTACATTGCCCTGCCTATTGCAGTCCTTGGTAATACAAGCATATGGTTAACTCTTTGTCACTAAAAATGTTCCACTCTGTTCAAAAGGGTTTCTCTCTGCTGTTATCTTGTTATATGCAATCATAAAATAATAAAATGTCTTTGAGTATAATAATGATGCTAATATTTTTATATCGGTTATTTTGAAACAAGGTATCTTCAATGATCAGCAGAAATCTCCATTCTTAGAGGTTATGTGTTAATGTAACCCGTAAAACTGAGATTTAAAGGGCTATCAATGAATGGCTCCCAAAAAATTTTTTGCAATGGTTTGATGCTCTTTATAATTTTAGGAAGCATAATAATCAGTAATATCAAACAATAAAAAGGTTCTGTATTCTAGTTTTTAGTATTTGAAAGTAACAAAGAAATATGGTTTGCTATTTAATAAAAAAAATGACAGCATCATGAAGACAACCTATTGTGACTTTTAAAGTTATCACCACAGAATTGCCCAATCTGAGTGTCTGTTACTATGTAAAATTTTAGAAGATTCAGTAAAAAATAAACTAAATACTAAAATGCTTTTGTACAAGAAAAGCATTAACTGACAAGACGTCTTAACAATGTAATGTGTATCTGATTTCCTTTCCTTAACTGGTTGAAAAAGCTATTAGCCATAAATGGAATCTCCCTAAAAACACAACACATACCCAAATAAAAAAAAATATTATCAAACAACTGTTCCCACAATAAATTCCTTTCAGAAAAACCCCCAGCTATGTGTAAAATACCCAAACATTTCCAACCCTGAGCAATTCCTGAATGTTGCTGGTTAACCGACGTAGGAAACCATTAGGGTTTGCTATCATGACTGGCTGAAAAACAATTTTGCTGAGTCAAACCAACCACTCACATGACCCAGCAGATGAGTTCCAGCAATGGTCAGAATCTGAAAGTTGACAGGTTGTCATAGCTGGCTACTGCCTCAAAACATGAAAAGCACTTTTAAACATGGAAATTTAGCAATCACTATCAATGAAAAGGAAAGACCTATACAAGACACCACATCTCACACCAGTAAAATTCATGTTAATTACATCTCCTGTGAAAAAGTTTTGATGCCACCTATTGAAGAACTATGATTTTCACATTTAGTGAGCAATCTGTAAAGACTTTCATCTAGAAATGCCTTTCTTTGTCTTACCCAAACAGATTTTACAGTGTAGATATAGGCAACCCTTCTATTGGGACACCCAGCAGCGGGACCGAGGGGGGGGGGCAGCTTCTGACACAGCCATGCAAACTCTGCAAAGAGCCCAGTTCCTTTAATATTGATTTTTTGGATGCTTCTCACAGCCTTAATATTAAATATATAAATAGAGCAATCCTTCTTTTAAAATTCAGCACAGGTAGTTCTTGACTTAGAAATACTCATTTAGTGACCATTTCACGTTACGACGGCACTGAAAAAAGTGACCGCTGGTCCTGTGGTAATGTGTGACCATGATTTGGGCACCTGGCAACCATCGCACATTTAGGACAGTCGCAGTATCCTGCAGTCATGTGATTGCCATCTGTGACCTTCCCAGCTAGCTTTCAATCAGCAAAGTTAATGGGGAAGCCAGCAGTGAACATTGCCAAGTCCCAGTTACATGTCTCACTTAACAATCAGTGATTTGCCTAATAACCACATGAAAAAAAAGTTGTAAAACCTGGTGCAGTCATGTGATGCCGCACTTAACAACTGCACTGCTTGGTGGCAAATTTTCTGGTGCCTATTGTGGTTTTAAGTTGATGACTACCTGTACCTTATACTTCGAACATTTGCAAACTACATACCTTATTAATTCCTTTGTAACATGCTCTTACCTAATAGTTAAATAAAAGCAAAACATTTATTTGGGGGCAAAATATGGGAAGATAGCTTCCAGACAGTGGTCTTGTTATTAACATCCGAGATCCAACAAAGCCAAAACAAACTTCAGATCCAAGATACAATAGCACCATCTAGTGGCCATTCTTCTCTCCTACCATAAGTGCAATATAATAGGCTGCGTGTATATATATATTTCGGCACATCTTCTTTCTGAATAGTTAAATCAACCTTGTCCTTCTCTAGACTTGTGCCACTGTTTCACAAATCATTTTTGGATGTCTCTATAAGCAGATACATATAAAGCCACTTTGCATGGGGCTTGACATATCTGTAAGCAAGTCAATTACATGATTTAAATTTTAAGGAAGATTTTGAAAATGCCATGTCACTAATAGCAGCAGCAGCAACAACAGAAATAATTTATTTATTTAACTTATGTATCACTCGATTCTCTACAACTCTAGGCAGCTCACAACAATAAAAGAAATTAAAATCAATACAGCAGCATAACAGATAAAGGTAAAAGCTGGTATATGCGATGATGCACTGGTTCTCATTCTTCCTTACTTTAAAGCCTGGGTGATTAGCCAAGTCTTCACAGCTCTTTTAAACCAGGGCTTTTTAACCAGTGGTATGGGTACCACCTGTGGTACATTGGCACCTGGCAGGTGGTACGCAAGTATCCTAGAAAAGTGGTAGCGGGGGAGGCGACTGGTGGTACTCGGATGTTGCCATATCCTAAAAGTGGTACAATGGGTAAAAAGATTGAAAAGCCCTGTTCTAAACAATAGCACAGTTAAATTTCAGGAGGAACCCCATTCAGAAGGCAGGTGTTGCTACAGAGAAAGGACACTTCCAGGGTCCCAACAGATGACACTGAAGGAACCCAGAGCGCACCAACCCTGCAGGACCGAATTGGCCAGGCAAATGTTATGATAACCAGGCCCTATGCCACACAGCACAATTTTACAGTGTTACAGAAAAATATAATCTTGGATCAAAATACAAACATTTGTTTAATTGAGGCTCACCTGGGGAGATGTATTTCGAAATATATCAGTGCCTTCAATCACATCCCTTTTTATTTTTTCCTTGACATTGGTGAATTCTTCTTCAGTCAGATTAATATCTTCCAAAGCGTGACCACAAGATGGACACTGACTGCTACAGTAACAATGAAATCATATAATAATTTTATTATAAAATATTAGCATCTTAAATATGTTTCTTCTTCTTATATAATTTAAGCCTCATTATGTTTAGCTTTAGCCTGGTAGTACGAGATGTCGAAGAAATCTACGTAAGCAAACTCAACTAAATCAGTCTATTGAATTAGCAGCCATTTTTTGTTAGTTTTGTTATAGCATGCTGGTTTCTGAAACTATTCTTCTGCAAACAGCATGGAAATGAAGTTAACTATCCTATTAGCAGGTTGGCAAAACAAATATCTAGTAATATTTTGGTGGCTTATTTACAAGGCTGGATTGAATATTTTGATAGGAAAATATTAAAATATTCATTAAATATTATGTAAATTTTCAGAGTTATGTGAAAAAGGTTCAACTGCATCATTTCAACATACACCAAATAAAACAAAGGTTTGTGCATTCCTTCATTCTTTTTTTTCCAGCATAGTCACAAGAAGACACAAAACCTAAGTATTGACCTATATTTAATATTAATTAGGATTTATTGAAACCTGCCCCTCAAAAATCCATGATCTGGCTTTTTTCAATTAATATAATTAAGTTTAACTACACTTTACACTTTGGTCAGAACACCAAACAAACAAACATAATTTTAATCTGGTTTTGGTTGTGACAAATTAAAAGAAAGCAGAGTAATTTAAAGAGCCTGCACCAAGCTCAGATATATTCATGGGATGTTAAACTATTTAATCATTATTCATAAATGGCACCATTCAAAAGAGACAATGAAGAAGCTAAAAAGGAATCAAAAAGTCCAGAACACATCATCTCCAGCCAACACCCAGATAAGCAGGGATTAAGACCAAGCAAACAAGCAGAAAACAATAATTAACAAAGAGAAAATCACATTCCCACCAAACTGGCAGGATAAACTACTGTATATAAACAGGGAGCAAATCCCACACTCACTAGCATTTATTTTGTATCTAGTGGGTAATGAAACATCTGCAACAAACAACCAAGCAGAGCGCACCAAGAACTACACAGTTCGACCCTGAGTTACACACAGTATATTCTCTTCCATTGGAACCCAATGGCCTTTTCCAAAAGGCAAATGGACTTTCTTGGGTTTTTTTCCTTGAAAATGTTTCACTTCTTATCCAAGAAGCTTCTTTAGTTCTGACTTTAGTTCTGAAAAGCACCTCTGGGAAAACTATGACTTGGATGATCGAGAATCTCCATAGACTTCTATTGGGACAATCTTGTTTTTATGGTCAGAAAATGGGGGAAAATTCTCAATCCTATCAATCATTTAAATCTTTACATTTGAAAACCACATGTTCAAGTATACTCTCAGCTACAAAACTCCTTGGGTAACAGTGAGTTACTATCTCTTACCCAATCTCTCACATGTATGCTTCTTTGAGCTTCTACAAGAAATGTAAGGTAAGAAAAAATAAAGAGGACATTCAGGAATTGCACTGCACCCTTAAGGCAGATATTCAATTTCCTATGAACTTTAACATACTTTTGCAAAATTATAAGAAATTATAAGAAAAAAGTCTGGAATTATGTAACACTTGAGTGAAAGATGAAAATCTTTTTTTTCTGTTCCATTTGAAGAAGTAATGGAAGCTAAACACGAGACAGAACTTTAAAGTATATTTACCTATTATTCATGCTTGTTAAACTTCCTTTCCAGTTCTCTCCTGAAATACTATTAAAATGCATAAAAATTAGAATCCAATTACAATAATTTAACCATCCAAAAGAAGCATTTCCTGCTTTTAGATCCAAACGAAAGCATCAATAATCTACTGAATATATATTTGGACACAAGCATTTTCTTAAAATATAGGGGGTAATAGCTAAGCAGTCATATATAGAATTAAAGTGTAACTGCAATTCTATGCAGTCACTTGCACATAAGTCCCATTCACTGTTTAGAGCAGTGGTTCTCAACCTTGGGTCGGGACCCCATTTGGGGTCGAACGAGCATTTCACGGGGGTCGCCAAACAACGCAGTCCGCCATTTTTTCCCCCTTTTCCTTAGCTGTGCTACTCCCTTTTATTCTATTGGCTTTTGAAAGCCAATAGAATAGACTCTCTTGAATAGAGTCTAATTCTATTGGCTTTCAAAAGCCAATAGGAATTGTCCAGGCTGTCTCTGCCCTGCTGAGCCCGCCAAAAGTCCCATTCTGCAAACGGTGCTGCACCAGTTGAGTAGTCCTCGACTTACGACCGGTTGAGTAGTCCTCGACTTACGACCGGTTGGGGGGTCGCGGCATTAAAAAGGTTGAGAACCACTGATTTAGAGTATATTACTTCCAGTCTATCTGACAGGGTTTTGTTAGGAGCTAACAATTCACAAGCAGGGACACAGAGCAAACGTAGGAAAATCAGTTGATCAAAATTTATTTGATCAGATTGATCAAAGAAAATAGAGGTTTAGAATCAGCTTTCATGGCTCCGGGTCTGTTATTTCTTGAATTACAATAAAGAAAGTGTCCTAATTGTATTGAATCTGAGAAGTTGCAGGAAGTTTATGTCTGCTTTGACAGAACCTGGCAATAACTATTTAATTAAAATTAAATATTATAAAATATTGCAGCATTTCTCTGTTTCAGCAATCATCATTTAACATATACTACTTTTAAAGAAACTATAGCAGCATTACAACTTATACTTAAGTATTCCATCATTTGTAAAGGCATTAAGAGGTCATTTTTTAAATATGGAGATTCAATAGTAGTCTTTAAGACTGCTTGATTATCCCATGACTAGGTTCGTGTATCACACTACGCTATATCTACAATATAAGCCATAAAGTGGTTTGCCTGCTTGTAGCTAAGTGCAGTTTATAAACAAAGATTTATAAAATGATTTATGACTTAGTTGAACAAACAAGAAAATTGTTGTTTAATGAATTTACCATGTCTAAGGAACTGAAGCTCAGTTTGATGTGTAAACCCAACATCAGCTTAAGAGATAATAAACTTCCCAAGCAAGATAACAGTATAGTCATAGGAGGTTGAGTTTGCATATCATGTATTATACAGCATTATGTGGCTTTGAGTTTTTTACTTATATGTACACAATAGCTGAAGTTTGTAAATAACAATTATTTATTGTTCATATGATTTAGGTATTATTCATTAAAACAATCTTGAATATAACACAGATGGCTTATAGCAATGTGTGCAAACGTCCCATAGATTTGATAGTTACATATATTTCTCATCAACTTTTACAACATAAGCAGATTATTTACTGATCAGTATTTAAAGTATTATTTTAAGCAACTTCCATCTAAAATAAGAACAGCTATTACTGGACAAGTTTTATTTACCTTTCAAACCACTGCTTTATGCTCAGCATGAGAGATTCATCAGGATAAATTTGATGTTCTCTTAAGTAGTAGAGGATATCAATACATTTATTTTTCAAATGATCATCCTTCACAGGCTGACAAAAGTCGAAGAAATGCTTTATTGTTGTCAAACTAGGAGTCAGATTTTCAGTTACCATCTCATGAAACAATTCAAATGCAAGGTTTCTTTCTTGGTTGAGCAGGGCACCCTCAATGCAGTCTCCATAATTTTGTCTTGAATGGAATGAGACTTTTTTAACCTTTTCCAGTAGCACCAAGGTCTCTTTCCAGTATGGGGAATCACTCAAGCCTTTGATGAGCAAAGAATAAGCTGATGCTTCTAAAGATTTATATTTGGCTTTCATAATATTATAGATATCATAAATCTCTCCTATGTCCTTATGATAAACGCATATAGTCAAGTACTTCACCAAATGACTATATTCAACATCTCCATCACGTTTAGCCACTGCAACCAGCAAGGATTTAGCTACATCTACTGGGCTATGATCATGTATCATGCTATCAAACATAACATCTTCAAATTTTTTATAGTGTTGATATTCTTCTTTTAACTTCTCCCATTCCTTGGCGCTCAAAGGTGTGTCTGGAGGAGAGACTTTGTTCAGAGGACTAAAAGACTCATTTGCAACTGCATTATTTGTATTGTACATTGCCCTTATCTTGGATGATCCAGCAGCAAATGCACTGAAAGGTTTTGGGGGAAGTCTGTCTTTACCAGCTTTTTTCTTCGTCATACTGCCATCTTTAATTTTAATTTCTGGATGAAACGCTTTAGGATCTATCGACTCTGCCAGTCTACATGATGTAGAAGTAAAACACCTACACATAGCTGGCAAGTTTTGCTTTGTTGACACAGGGAGGAATGTTAATGTCTGCAAAACCCAATTTCTTATTGGGAGGAAAAAACCCATAATACTGAATAATTAAAACTGAACTTTAAAAAAAAAAAGAACCAGTTTGTAATAAATTTATGAAAAATAAGGAAACTGACAGATTGTTCCAAAAACTGATACAATAAATGATTGATGTCACTAATACATTTAACTATCTCATTAAACCAAATCAGTTTTTATCATTCTCAGAAGAAAATAAACTAAAAGGCCAATTTGAAATGAGAACTTCTATTCCTTCATTTGTTAAAATACTTGACAGAAGCATATTTCTGAAGTTCCTTCATTAGTGGTACCTGCATACAAAAAAGTCAAGCACAATGATATGAGATTTTCATTCAGATCAGGCTGCATGAAAACAGATCATATTTCCTTAAAATGACAAAGATAAATTATAAATTGCACTCAGTAAGAATGTTGATAACTTACTTATCTAATCAGACTGTTTTCAATACTTATGATCATCTTGTAGAAACAAACTAACCGCACCTAGCCCTAAAATTGAGATCTGCAGGACTGTCATGGATCAAGACTCTGATATTATAGATTTTATCACTTGAACAGATATTCTCAACAGCATTAGGTCACCCAGCAAAGATATAAAGGATACAATCCAGTAAGCTCTATTATCTGTTCCAACCACCTTTTTTCTTTTAAATTTAGCATTAGAGTAAATAAGTGTCTTTATTGTAGCCAGAGACCAGTATTATTATGCATTGGTCTTTCACTACAATAAAGACACATTTATTAATTCAATAGTTTAAAATGGGAAGCTATTTTAAAATAGTTAAAATATGGAAAATGCACAACCAAAATGCTCAGTTAATTTTACAGTGTGTAGTGTGTGTGTGTGTGTGTGTGTTTCTGCATTTTCCATATGACATAGCATTAGGGTAACAGTCATGGATATCTGAGAGTAAAATAAGTAAAATTAATCAGAATGACTAGGGATTAACCATCCTGTGGACCAGCAATGCTATATTTATATAACATATATAATGTATGTGTAATAAAATACATTTAACAATTTTAGTAGCCTATTTACCCATGGGCAAAACTTAATGTAAATTGGATGCCTTTATAACTCTCTTCTAAGATTGCAAAAAATGCCTTTCTAAATGAAGGGACCATAATGTGATTTAGGTATTTAGATCAGGGGTGTCAAACTGCCAGCCTGTAGATGCGTCATGCCGAAACCGCGCCCACCCCAGCTCCGGCAATGGGGAAAAAGTCACGATACGTCACGTGATATTGCGAGTTTGACACCCCTGATTTAGATGGCCAGGAGCATATCCTTGGAAAGAGATGTGAGATGTAACTGGACAGTAATGTTTTTAATCTGCTGCCTGAGGGCCACACAGGATGAACTTTGGTTGCTTATTACAAAAGATAAGCCCAGGCAGAACCTAGAACCAGATTTGGTCATCATGCCTCAAAATTAAACTGACCCCCCTTTCCATTAGGGATTTTTTTAGCAAAGACATTCTGAAACTGTTACTTCCAGATCTATAATAGAGGGGGCCTGAGTGGCTAAACTGCTCAGCTATTACTCTACTGATTCCAAGTCTTGATCTCAAAAAGTCTGAAGAGCACACTGGGGTTCAACATATTGCAATGGTTAAATCTCCCTTTCTTCTCTCCCCCCACCTCAACCCTATAGATTTGAATTCTACATTAGTTCTGCCACTCCACACATCTGACTCAGTAAGCTGCAGCTTGCTAAAGCTTAAACATTATAATAATATTAGTTAATCTTTAATGATGCTAAATAGATCGGGGATTCCTCGGAAACATGTGATTAGCTATTTTACACAACTAACGTAGCAGACCCTCTTGCATTACTACTCTTTTGCATTTTAGCATTTAATGACTATGGGCCTCTCAGTTTAAGCATTAGTATTATAGTATAGTTAGGCCACGTGTAACTGACAGATTGGATGCCAAATTGTGATTTTAATATAGATTTTATCTATTATTTATTATTTTATTCTAGAATTTTTAACTGGCTATTGCTTGAGTGTTTTTATTTGTTCTGGTCTCTGACTGTAATAAACTTGACCTGATTTGATTTGGCTAGCATAGAATAACGTGGCTCTCTTCCTATAATGTCCCTTCTTAAGTAAATAAATATTTCCTTTGTAGCTTGCTTGCCAGATTTGGCAGACATCGGGAGCTCCCAGAACAGAAAGTTCAGCTCAAATTATCAAAGGCATCGGCTCAACTCTTGCTAGCTAAAGTGCTCGACATTCACGACATGCTACGAAGCGTAATTTTTATTAGTAACTTACACTGGCAGATTAAAACAGGGCCAACTTAGTCCGGGCGATGAAAGCATCAAGTCAAAACGCCACGAAAAAGCCTCAGCTAATAAAGGATCCACGCGCCAACAGCTCAGCGGTATTTTTTTTCCCGGAAATTTCCTCCATCGAAGCACTCTCCTCTGATTGGCAGATTAGTGCACATGACGTCTACGCAGGCGATGGGTAAGAGATCCAATAGCCGGCAAGCAGTAGCCATGTTAATTAAGGGCCCCCTGCTTTCCGTTTGCTCACTCTACGTCAGAGGTCCCCAACCTTGGCAACTTTAAGACTTTTGGACTTCAACTCCCAGAATTCCTCAGCCTGCCATGCTGCAGTGTTGGATACAATACTGGCTGGCTGAGGAATTCTGGGAGTTGAAGTCTATAAGTCTTGGGAAGGTTGGAGATCTCTGCTCTACATTATACGGTAGTTTCTTCTCTTGGGGGGGGGGGCTAAAACTTGAGAAGGAAGAGGAGGAGGGATTATATGACGGCTTCGCCGTTTCCCGGATGTTGCCCATGGTGATGACGGTTAGCGGGGGAAGCGTCCTACTTGATTGAAGCGGGAACGTCACGGAAGATGGACTGGAAGCAGGCACTGAAAAGCCGGCTGGCCGTCAGTAGCGACTGTGAGTGAGGAGGGAATTTTAGGCCGGTGCACCTGACTGGGGAGGGTCTTTTAAACGGGGAGGGGTTGGCTGAGAGTCGGGACTGCCCGCTTCGCTCCTCTAGCTTTGCCTCGATGTAACGCGCTACCTGCCCTCTCTCGGAATATGAGGGAGAAGAGAAATGCTTTTGTAGCCTTTGCGCGATTTTTAGGCTCTGTTATTTCAAAATAAATGAAATTTAATACTATCTATTGAAAATAAGATTTAGTTTACTTCATTGGCCTCTGTCAGTCCTAGGAATCATCCATCGAGAAAGGACAATATAGATAGAAAGTCCAACAAAGCCCTGTGAGGTAGGAGATTAGGTTGTGCTGTAATGGCCCTGCTATAAACAACCCTTGTTTTGCCAAGCATAGTTTATTGAACGGCACATCACACTAAGTTGTTACCTGTGCTGGGTTTGTATAATGCAATGAGCTGCAAATTGCTGATCAAGATTTAGGTTAGCTTATGTGGAACAGACCAGTGATTCATGGAGAGATAGACTATACACTAGAGATGTCAACATCTAGGGTACCCTGGAAGATATTCCCTTTTCACAAGAACCTCTAGTCTAGTACTAAAAGACAAAGATGATTAGGGGACTGAAGGCTAAAAATATGAAAAACAGTTGCAGGAATTGGGTATGTCTAGTTTAATGAAGAGAAGGATGAGGGGTGACATGATAGCAGTATTCCAATATCTCAGGAGTTGCCACAAAGAAGAGGGAGTCAAGCTCTTCTCCAAAACACTTGAAGGCAAGACAAGAAGCAATGGATGGAAACTAATCAAAGAGAGAAGCAACCCAAGAAGAAATTTCTTGACAGTTAGAACAATTAATCAGTGGAACAACCTGCTTCCAGATGTTGTGAATTTTCCAAAACTGGAAGTTTTTAAGAAGAGACTGGACAAGAGTTTGAAATGGTATAGGGTTTCCTGCCTGAGCAAGGGGTTGGACTAGAAGACCTCCAAGGTTCCTTCCAACCCTGTTATTCTATTAAATTCAGTCATTCCTAAGTTAGAAGGCAGAGGAACTGCTGGCCTACCCACTGAGATACAGCAAGCAGCAGAAAAAGAATCTGTCAAGGTTCTATGCAAGCCATGCTGACAAACCAAACAGAGGAGGTCAATCTACAATCCAATACTGAAAAGAGAAGACTTAATAGAGTGTGCAAACTATCATACAATTTCACATGCTAGCTGAAGACTGCTTAGGATCATCTGATGCAGAACCGTAAATGGAAAAAGATATGCCAGATGTTTGAGCTGGCTTTAGAAAAGACTGAGGAGCTTAGGGCATTATTGCTGATATACGCTGGATAATTGAGAAGAAGACCAAAGAATGCCAAAAAAACTTTGTGTGCTTCATTGATTATAGAAAGACTTTTGATTGTGATGACCACATCAAGCTCAGAAAAATCTCATTATCCTCATGATAAACTTATATACTGGTCAGGCAGCCACAATACGGACAGAACATAGTGAAACAGACTGGTTCCAAGTTGACAAAGGACTGCAACAAGGTTACATCCTCTCTCCTTATTTATTCAATTTGAAGGAAGAAACATAAATTACCTCTACTATGTTGATGACATGATCCTGATAGCTGAAAATGCAAAAGATCTATAAGCTAAAATAATAAAACTAAGGACCAAAGGGGAAAAAATGGGAGTAAAATTAAATATAAGGAAGACCAAATTAATTATAAAAAGTACAACAAACAGCCTTACAATTGAGAGTGAAGATATTCAAATGGTAGATAGCTTCTTGTCTTTTAGAATCAACCATCAGCAGCAAAGCAACAAGTCCGTGACTTATGACTGGTCGAAGTTCTACAGATGCCCCCCCCCCCCAAAAAAAAGTTACAGCCCCATTTTGAAATTATGGCCACTGCAATCATTTGCTTTTATGACCACATGATACTGCAACACCCTCCCATCTCTCAACCCACCAGATTCCCCTAAGCCTTAAGCCTATTTCTGCCCTCTCCCCTGGGTCTCATATGCTCTTAGCATGAAAAGATTTTATGAACATTTCTTTGAACATAGAGAAAGATGTTTCCAATCAGTACATGGGATTCAAATCAAAATTACTTTTCATACAGAAATTTGTTTTACAAAGTAGGCTATATAAATGGTAATATACTCTGTTTTGTGTTATGTAGCTAAAAAGAGCGACCAAGAATTGAAGGATGAAGAGATGGAGTTGTTTACAAAATACTACCTGGAATGGAAAGGAGGTAGAAAAAGTGCCAGTACCTCTTATGTGAACATACCACGATTTTATTACAGGGTAGGTTTTCAGTGTTGCTCTATCTAAGGTCTTTAAAATGCACACAACTTTTATAGTAAAACAGTTTAACAAAAAGAATAAGCAACCAAGTATATAATTAAAATCATATAAAAACTAGAGTACTATTTCAGTTGGTCTCAAGTTTCTAAAGCTTCAGATCTTTAAAAGCTGCAGGAATAAGCTGCTTGTTTTGATACAAATAGTCAAAACATATCAGAGAAATTTCAGCTTCTTCAAAAGTAAGATACTAGAACAATATTTTTAGATAAAAAATTTTAAAACTGATTTCTATAGATACAGAATTATCTACAATGCTATACACAACTGGTTTTTTTTTTTTACTAGGAGGAGAATTATTTCAGTTATGATGACTGGGATTCTATGTTCACAAAAACAATACATTATTTCTATAGCTAAGTTGTATCATGTCCAGTAAAACTGTAATGGTCTTGCACATAAAGGTTTGTGATATTTTATTGTATAAATTCAAGGGTCCAATTCAAGGTGCTGGCTATTACCGATAAAGCCCTTTATGACAAGGGACAAGGGTGTCTGACGAGCCGTCTCATCCTGAAGGGACTAGCTCACCCCACTCATTCCAGTGGAAACTACTTTGGATCCCATCTGCCAAAGAATGTTCAGCTGGTGGGGTCCAGGAGAAGAGCCTTTTTTGCTGTGGCCTCTGCCCTCTGGAATGCCCTCCCATTAGAAGGGAAAGCATTCCGGAAGAACTTGAAAACTTGGCTGGGGCCTGCTACATTGGGGGTGGTTGATTGGATAGAGAAAATCCCCACCTCCAGATCACCCATCATCTTGGTTTTTAGCTTTTCTTTTTAATTTCTCTATTTTTAATAGTCTTGTAGAATTTTTATCATATTGTAGGCCACCCAGAATCACTGTAAGTGGGTAAATAAATAAAGTATATTAACACTTTCATCTTTCATCATCTAATATGAGGCAGTACTACTATTCAATGAAACCTCATTTTAATGAACTCATTAAAAGAAACCCACTCCAAAGATTATCCACAAGCACAAGCAATGAAGTTGATTGTGAACTCTGAACTTAACCCTGACTTCCAAGGGTCCAGATAGTTTGCTCCTTTGGAGTTGCAGGGCCTTAAAAGCACAAGTTGGAGATCAGTGTAACTATTAATGTAGTTGGATCAAGGAAATGCTTCTTGTGCAGAGGTTGCAGCTAGATTCTTTAAGCGGTAACGGACCATTCCATTCAAGTGTTGATTCCTGCTTGAATCTTGTTATTTCATGAGAGGCCTTAACTAGCCATGGGTGTTATGGATACAACTAGGAGGTGGTGGAGCTGACACTAAAGAAGACACTCGGGATCAAAATGATCATAGTTCATTTCACAGGACAAAGCCCTAGTCCTCTCTATTGGTATTCTTCAGTTAGAGTCCAACTCCATTCAAATAATTTATCCACCAAATTATTTATCAGAGGCTAGAATGCCTGTTTGATCAAATAAGAAGGAATGAAGACCACGAACATGACATTTGTGCTCTTTTGTGAATAGCAATGTTTTAATTTAAGAAGAGCTTCATAAGGGAGTTGCACATGGCAAGATGAAGCATTTGGCTAAAAAACTAAGTTGCAAGACAAATGGCAATGGCAACAGAGGAGAACTTAGGTGTAATAGACACAAAAAACGGATGCTAATCTTGTTTATTTGTGTTATAAGTTTAGACTCCTTAGGTATACTTTAATGGAAGTGATAATATCTAACTTCCTGTTTATTTTCTTTTTCTCTACATTTTTACTTTTCAACACTGTTCTCTGTTTAAACCAGTAAAAAAAACCTTGACTATAAAGGGAGACTTATTGGATTATAGAAACACATTGGGGTAACTATTGACAGATGCATGGAAGAATCTAAGTACTATCAAATGGCAATTATTCTTTGTTCTTAATTAGTAATAATGGATAATGAGGCAGGGGCAAAAGACAGCCAAAGATGAAAAAGGAAGAAAAGAAGGAAGGAAGGAAACATTCACTGTATTTCTACAATTCTTGTAGCACAAATAACATTTATGTAAATAAGTTTCAAAATATACTTGTGTTACAAATTACAATTCTTTTTTTTTTTAGCTGCCAGCAGAAGATGAAATATTGTTACAAAAATTAAGAGAAGAATCTAGAGCTGTCTTTTTGCAGAGAAAAAGTAGAGAATTGCTAGATAATGAAGAATTGCAGGTATGAAAAAACTGAAAATATAACTTAATTTCAGATCAATATTTTGGAAACTTTACTGTCCACTAAGTGGTATTTCTCTTGTCATTTTTAAATTTCCTTTTTAAGAATTTGTGGTTTCTCTTGGATGAACATCAGACACCACCTATGATGGGGGATGAAGCAATGATTAACTATGAAAACTTCTTGAAAGTTGGTGAAAAAGCTGGATCCAAGTGCAAGTAAGATGTTTA